AGTTGAAGTTCATGAGTCATAAAACAGCCAAGGCCTTGCCCCTGGCCTAGGCCTAGGCTGCTTTATGACTGTGGACTTCAACTCCCAGAATTCCTGAGCCAGCCATGCTGAGGGGAAAGGGAGAGGTTTCCAAGCTGAGCCATGCTGGCTCAGGAATTCTGGGAGTTGAAGTCCACGAGTCATGAAGGGGCCATAGTTCCCCCATGCTGGCTCAGGAATTCTGGGAGTTGAAGTCCACGAGTCATCAAAGAGCCAAGGTTGCCTACCTCTGACATAGGGTCTCCTGCCTGAGTAGGGGGTTGGACTAGAAGACCTCCAAGGTCCCTTCCAACTTGGTTATTCTGTTAAATGGGTTTCTTTTGCCAAGAAGAGGGAGCCCAGGTGACAGGTCTGGTAAGACCTCACTGAATTGGGGCAAGGAAAAGTTCACCTCCTAAGTCATTGAGTCTGCTCTTGGTGGTCTTGGTCTTCTCCTCCTCCTCCTGCTGCCACTTCAGGTGTCGGGGGACATACAGAGTTCTGTTTCTTGCACATCTGCTCTTGGTGGAACTGGCGTTTTGAGTTCCCCTAGCACTGAGCTGGAGGACAGACGCAAGGACCTTGGATCCAGCTTTTTGTGGATTCTTCCCCCCCTTTAGAGGAGACTTCTCTCCAGAAACCCCCTTAAGAAACCGTAGTTGACCCTTCCTGCTTTCGGTCTAGTGTGGTGTTTCCCAACCTTGACAATCCCCTCTCGGATAGGGCCTATTTAACTAGCTAGTGTAAAATAAATGTAAAGTTTTATATATAAGAGCTGTGGACACAACAAAGGAGGAGAGCGGTATACAATTGGGAAGGGATATTAACCCACAGTTAGTGGAACCCTATTCCCATCATAAGACACAAGAAAACATCAGATCGAACCCTCCCCCTGATACGGCAGGCGTTGGTATTATCGGAAGAGGAGGGGATGCAAGGTTACTAATGCCTCCAAAGACCAATAGTGGAGGGATAGGGAAGGGCATCCGGAGAAAAGAACATAACGTTATAGACACATTTTGGTTATCAGCTGGCCAATCAGGGCCAGTAACACGGTCTAGGAGCCATGCGCAAACACTACTTAAACCTACTTAAACCACCTTTATTGTAATGGCCTTTTAGCCCTGACGATGCTGAGGAGTTCCCCCAGCGAAAGCTTGGCAACTTTTTAGTATAAGTGTATTTTTAGTAAAGTATTCTTACCCTCCCGGTGATCGTGTTTTATTCTTTTATTCATAATTATGCCTGGGAGTCGCATTTTTACCAATGTTCTTGAGTTATATATATATATATATATATATATATATATATATATATATATATATATATATATAGGAGGAGACCATACATGTATTCAGAGGAAGGCCTAAAGAGCCAGGAGACCCACTCCTTCCAACCAGCGAGAAGAGCCTTTGGGGATGTTTGACTTAAGTCCCTCAGTGAAGAAAGGTCAGATAGAGGCTGGCTGCTCTGTAACATCTGGAGATCTTCTGGAATGGTGGAAATGCTTTTGCTATTTGACAGGATACTAGTAGGATGGTTGAGCTAGTGGCAGTCACAGGAGAGTTAAAAATATTCAGAAAGGTCAGAAGTATGAAAGATTGGGTCAAACAGCCAAACATACTGTCATGGTTCTGACAGATGAAACTCTTCAAAGAACTTTGAGACATTGTTTACCTTAAAGAATCTTTATTGGAGTAGCATAGCTTGGGCACTAACATAGTTGAAGCCAAAAACTGGATTCCCCTCCCCTGAGCACATTATTTATTTATTTATTTATTTATTTATGAGACTTATATACCGCTTTAAGTGCAAGCACTCTCTAAGCGGTGTACACCAGTAAGCAATGTATATATATATATATCTATTTACATTGCCCCCAACAATCTGGGTCCTCATTTTACCTACCCCGGAAGGATGGAAGGCTGAGTCAACCTTGAGCCGGTGAGATTTGAACTGCTGACCTGCTGAATACAGTCAGTTAAAGTGGCCTGCAGTACTGCACCCTAACTGCTGCGCCACCTCGGCTCATCACATAGTATCAAGCACAATTCCCTCCTCCAATTAACTGTCCTAAATCACATTCTCCAATTAGTTTGAAATGCAGGCTCTCCCTCCTGTTCTCCAACCTGCCAGTTCTTGTCATCTCTTATTTCGAGCTCTGAATTCACACACTAGTACAACATTGTTGCATCCAACTAACTCCCATCACATTCCTCCTCCTGCCCCAGCATCATCTAATTCTAAGAGTAAAGCATAAGAAAGAAAAAGGCTGCATCTTCATATGTTGTCAAAGCAAGAACATCCAATGTTAGCAGCCTTGACACATACATTAACTTAAATCACCGGCACCACAGATTATATAAAAAGACTTTCAACTGGTATTAACTTGGTGGTTCATTCATAAAAAAGTCTTGAAATTAAAAAAGCAAAGCACATATATCTTCAAGAAACCCATTAAAAACGACACTGTTAATCTAGGATGCAAATGATTTGGTCAAAAACACAAGGCCTTGGGCAGGCAGGAACGTATTTGGAATGGAACAGCCCTATCCGTAGCTCAGAAATGTATCTTGAACCTTCTAGGAAAATTGCTAGAGGAAGTTGGAACATTTATAATATTATGAGTCCTGAAGGAAGGAAAATGGCAACAGTTTCAATTCAGTTTCTGAATGATCAAGCGACGTTTTGCAAAGATTTTTTTTTCCAATGGCGTCTTGGACATTGTAGAGCAGTGATTCTCAACCTTTTTAATGCTGCGACCCCCAACCGGTCGTAAGTCGAGGACTACTCAACTGGTCGTAAGTCGAGAACTACTCAACTGGTGCAGCACCATTTGCAGAAGGGGACTTTTGGCGGGCTCAGCAGGGCAGAGACAGCCTGGACAATTCCTATTGGCTTTTGAAAGCCAATAGAATTAGATTCTGTTCAAGAGAGTCTATTCTATTGGCTTTCAAAAGCCAATAGAATAAAAAGGAGGAGCACAGCTAAGGAAAAGGGGGAAAAAATGGTGGACTGCGTTGTTTGGCGACCCCCGTGAAATGGTCGTTCGACCCCAAATGGGGTCCCGACCCACAGGTTGAGAACCACTGTTGTAGAGAGAGGTGTGAATGGGGTTTCCCCTCCGAAGTTACCACAGCAAACTTCCCAAAAAATATTCAAGATTGCCTGTCACTATTTTCCTTCTCAGAGATACGGAGACATAAAGGTCCTTCTTCAAAGGAACGTTGTTGTAGTTAGGCATCCTGGATTTGCAGTTCACAGTTAACTAAATTTAGAGATGTGAAAGTCGCACCTCTTGCTTGGAAGGGATCATAATCCCGTAAGTGTTAAGATTACACCAAAGGATCGTTTAAACCTGGAGGGCGAAGACTTAATGGCTTACTTTCGCTCAAGAGGAGGTTAAACTGAAGGATTAACACAATTCAAAGAACATCTAAACCAATTTAACTCCTGGCGTTTCTTTATTTACAATAAGGGATTCATTACAGGATCAATAGCTGGATCATCGGCTATGACAGGAACAAGAAAAAAATTGCTACTTCTGTTTGGGATGGCAAATCGCAAGTTTTACAAAGGAGGAAATAATAGATTAAATATTACTCCAGATTATATAACAAATTGATATTAAACTTGGAGCAATAGACGGGCTTATCTAGCTCAGGGTTGAACAGATGCGTCCTTGATGCTCTCTGGTGGTTTTCCTGCAGATGTTTCAGGACCCAACTAGGTAACATCGTCAATGCCAGAAGGAAGTGGGGTGTGCAGAGGAGGAGGACGACAACTCTGGGGTGCTTGATACTTTTTGAGCTTAGTTGTTTTGTTACAGACATTTTATTATCCAACTAGGTAACATAATCAGTGCTAACTGAAGCGTAATCATTGAAATTCCTCAACATGGATCCCAACATTCAAACATTTGAGGCTGGTGATGTTACCAGGTTAGGTAATGAAATGTCTGCAAGAGAACAACCGAGCTCACAGAGAACCGAGGACCCCCAAACTTGGAACAGGTTGACAAGTATCTATATACAGTATGAGCCTCCCCTCCCCAGGTGTGTCTGCCATTGATCCCAGGTGAGCTTCGTTTCCCCCCCCCCGCCCCTTTGACCCATCTCTTCCCCCAGCAGTGGACGTTTTCTTGGCAGCTCCTAGTCAGAATTTGTCTGCTCCTAATTGAGGGAGCCCCTGCAGACCAGGAGTTGGTTTTTACCCCCTGGTGGGGTTTCCACAAGAGGCCGAGAAGTTGCATTTGGCCCCTGAAAGACGGGCATCGTTTGCTTGGCAAGCAGACTGGCAGTTGGTCACAAGGGTGGGAATTTGGGGAAAAGACGTATCATGAGATACTACTCACATTTTGAGGATCCCGTGGGGATCTTCGGCTTCTCCAGAGAAAGAAGAAGAGATGTGCCACTTCATGCCCTTCTCCATAAGGATCGTGCAAGTTTCTGGAAGCCAGGGGTTAGCGAGGGCAGACCTCTTTCTCGTTCCCCCCATATTGTAATGTTGAAATATTATACAGTAGTTCATTTTATAATAGTTGCAAATCTACATTCTCTGTTTTGTCCCCCCCCCATTTTGCAATTATTCATTCCATTTTGTAGCCTCTCTCTTGCCGAGTCTGACTCATCCAGACCATGACAATCTTCAGAGACCCAGTCAGAGTTTCCACTGTGACCACCATTCAAACCAGGATAGGCGCAGATAAGTGGGTATCACCTACAGACTGATGATACAGCATCCTGAATTGGTGGATGACTCCTTCCAGTAGTTTCACACAGATGTTCAGTATGATAGGGAGAGGAATAAGACCTCAGACACCCAGAAAGGCAATCCTCATTTGACCTCCCACTCAAAGAACAGAGGTCTTCTAGTCCAGCCCTCTGCCCAGGCAGGACATCCTATACCATTCTGAACAAACGGTTTTCCAGTTTATTTTTGAAAACCTCCAGTGATGGAGCACCCACAACCTCTGGAGGGAATCCCTTCCACTGGTTAACTGTTCTCACTGTCAGGAAGTTTCTCCTTAGTTCCAGGTTGCTTCTCTCCTTGATTAGTTTCCATCCGTTGCTTCTTCTCCTGCCTTCTGGTGTTTTGGAGAATAGGTCGAACCTCCTCTTCCTTGGGGCGGCCCCTCAAATACTGGAACACTGCTATCATTTCACCCCTAATCCTTCTCGTTAGAAGAGACATTCCTAGTTCACTCAGTTGTTCATTGTATGGTTTAACCTCCAGAACTTTATCATCTTTATTGCTCTTCTCTGCACTCTTTCTAGGGTCTCAGCATCTTTTTTCTACTGTGTTGATCAGAACTGGATACAGCATTCTAAGTGTGGTCTCTTCCACTTCCAATTTTTGGAGGTGGTCCAGAAAGAGAGTCTTGTCAAAAGTGTCAAAACTTATGGTCCTGCTCCTATGGTGCTGGTTTTGCCACCAGGGAAGTTGGAGATGCCAGTCTTGGAAGCCAGGGGCTGCCGTGTGTGTGTGTGTGTGTGTGTATGTGTGTGTGTGTGTGTGTGTGTGTGTGTGTGTGTGTGTGATTCCAGAGCTTCTCACCTGGGGTGGCCAGCCCTCTTTCCCACCACAAATTCCTTAAAATGGGGAGAAGGCAGTGACCCAGAATCTGAAGCAAAAATCATGCTTGAGTTGGAAGTTGCTTCCGTGTATCGGAGGCGTTTTCCTGGTTGCTGATGGTCGATTCTGCTCCTGCAGTGGACGTGTTGTCCTGAGAGAAAGGTTTAATGCCCTGCAAGGAAGAGCAAAACCCCTTTTATTTGTCCAAATTAATATTGTAGCTCTAAAGCAGTTATTTTTTCAACCTTGATCACTTTAAGATTTGTGGACTTCAACTCCCAGAATCCCCCAGCTAGGCTGGGAAATTCTGGGAGTTGAAGTCCATAAGTCTTAAAAGTTGCCAAGGTTTCACACCCTTGTTCTAAAGCCTCAAGTAGTTATTAGGGGCCTTTCGGAGGGAAAGAGTCAAATTATAGCAGTCCAATTTAAAGCCAAAGGCAAAATGCCTGGGTTTTATCCACTCTCTTCTCCAAATGCTGCTAAAATAGCAAAAGGGAGGCAGAATTTGACCCTGCTAATATTCTTGCACTTGCAATAAAACATAAAGTTAGTCACCACGAAAATGAGATGTTTGGGGAAAGCTGCTGGAGCGACTAGAAGAAAGAAAACCAGAAACGAGACTATAAGAGAAAGAATTGGCACAGAACCAATCTTAAACTACACACAACAACAGCAAATCGAATGATTTGCTCCTCTGGAGAGGATAGACCCTACCAGGCATATGCAAAAAGAGGAGCGGGTCATAGAACACGAGGCAGGCCCAGAAGAAGATGGGGAGACAGCCCCAGAGACACAATACAACAGCATCAGGTAACAATGGTTAAGGGTGCCAGAAGAGCAAGAAACAGAACTTTGTGAAGGAGGGGGAGCAGGAGGAACAGTGAGAAGGGGGGAGGAGGAAGAGGAGGAAGGGAGAAGAAGGAGAAGAGAAGAAGATGGAGAAGGAGGAGCGGAAGGAGGAAGAGAAGAGGGAAAGGAGGAGGAGGAGGAGAAGAGGGAGGAAGAGGAGGGAGAAGAAGAAGGAGGAAGAGAAGGAGAAGAGGAAGAAGGGAGAAGGAGAGAAGGGAGAAGGAGGGAGGAGGAGGAGAGGAAGAAGAGGAGATGGAAGAAGGAAGAAAAGAGGGAAGAGGGAGAAGGAGAAGAGAAAGGAGAGGAAGAGAGAAGGAGGGAGGAGGGAGAAGGAGGAGAAGAGAGGAAGAAGGGAGAAGAAGGAGGAGAGGGAAGAAGAGAAGGGAGAAGGAGGAAGAGGAGAAGAAGGAGGAGACAAGGGAGAAGAAGGAGGAGAGGGGAGAAGGGAGAAGGAGGAAGAGAAGGAGAAAGGAGAGGGGAAAAGAAGAAGGAGAGGAAGAAGAGAAGAGGGAGAAGAAAGAAAGGAGAAGAGAAGGTGAAGAATTAGTAGAATTATTCTTGCAGCTCCTGACTCCTGGTGGCAGCAGACATTTAGGAAAGGCTCACCCCGGTCAAGGTGAGCAGTTGAGGGACTCCTGTCCATCCCTCTGGCGAGAAGCCATTTCTCCTAGGAAGAGGAGCCATCTTTACAGGTGGTCCTCGACATAGGACCACAGTTGAGCCTGCTTATTAAGGTTGCATGTCATGATGGCCAAAAAATGACTCAGTCACGTGATCAGCCAGTTTTTACCACTTTTTTGTGGTGGTTGTTAAGCAAATACAATGCTTGTAAAGCAATCACAGTGGTTGTTAAGCGAACCAGTGATTCACTATGGTTTTGTTAAAGTGCCACTTTTGGGAAAAAACATCATAAAACGTGGTCACGTGACCGCAGGATGCTGCAAACAGCCTTAAATGTGACCGCGTTACGGAGCGGGTGAACTTCGGCCAGGTGATTGTGGAGAGGGCCCGACCGTCGGAAATGGGTTGTAACCAGCCCCAAGGTAGGTCTGTTGCAACCCGAATGGTCTGTTAAGCAACTGGTTGTAAAGTCGAGGACTCTTTCTATTTCTCACGCCATGCAGAAGACCAGGCAAAGGTGGGAGCGGGAATGGGGCTCCCGTTCCCCTCCTCACACGGCATAACCAATTACCTCAGGAAGGAAGCTGACCTCTGCCATCTGTTCCACCGAAGGAGGCACCTCGTTGTCGGAGTCTGAAATGAGAATTCGCCCTGTTCATGCTCAGGATGGGGAATGGGTGCTCCACCTCCAAACCTGTTAGAACTACAACACCCAGCACCCCCCACCATTGAATGTGCTATCTGGGGCTGCTGGGAGTTGAAAGTTGGCAAGGTTGGGTTCCCCCCCCCCGCTCTGATTTACAACCCCGATGTAGGAGATGACCAGGCTGAGTCCAAGGGAGGGAGGGAAGGGCCAAGCGGGTCATCAGCCATGAGTCCCTTCGCACCCACAAGAGAGCTAAGTCCAGCCCACCTTGAGTTCTGTTGACTCTTACCTGCCGCCATTTTGCTTTGACCGTTAATTGGCCAGATTCTTGTAGAGAGCATGAGCTTGCAGTCAACGTTTATGTTCATTTGAACTGCATGAACTTCCTGATTTATTGAGCATGACACCCTGTTTACTGCTACATGAAAGTACAAACCCCCAATTCACAGCACCCCAGAGTGGGCACTCAAGAAATGTGAATGTGGCCTGGCTGTGGCTCTTGATGAGGGCCATGGTTACAAAGAGGATGTACCTGAAGATTCATTGATGGACTCCATGCTGCTGTGGATTTCTGTCAGATGGGAAAGAAAAGAGACATGAATTCTTTGGAGGATCTGCTGCTTGCGTGCATGATGGCCTGCTGCAGGCGTTATGCGGGGTACCCCACCCCCTGCCCTGCATCTTGCCCATGGGCAGGACTGGTGGTTGATTCGTCGGCTAGTCCTGCCAGCCTTGGATTGGGGTGTGAGGGTTGTGAAACGTCAGTCAAGATCCTTCCCAGAGATCTGAAGTCATGGAGAATTAATCTGCCAGCAAGTAAACTTTGATCAAGCTACTATCTCTTCAGTGGTAGCCCAGGGAGTCCTCACTTAAGGACCAGAACTGGGTCCAGCTACTTCGTCATTAAGTGAAATGGTTGGCAAGTGAAACCACAATTGTACTTACAATCTGACTTCAGCTTTTCTTTGCTTTACAGACTGCAAAGATTGTCAGAGTAATAACTGGTTGCAAAGTTACTTTTTCATCATAATTGTAACTTTATGAGGCAGTCACTAATCTGTAGTAATCTGGCAGGAGGCTCCAAGTAGGACATAAAAGGGACTGAGACATAACCTGTTGGCCACCTGCTTGCTAAGTTTCCATTTTAAGGCAGGGGGTTGGACTAGATGACCTACAAAGTCCCTTCCAACTCTTGTTATTCTATTCTATTCTATTCTATTCTATTCTATTCTATTCTATTCTATTCTATTCTATTCTATTCTCCAGGACTTGTTTAGGTGCCAGTACTGGAGGTTTCAGTCACACAGTCTGGTTACTGAATTAATCCATAGTCTGCTTGCACTAAATTATAAACTGGCTGGATGGGCTGAGCTGGAATTCCTGCTGAGGCAGCCTCCCCTAATCAAATTGTCATGTTGCACAACATTCACTTGGTTATGCACGCAGGACATTTTTTTTGGCAGAGGTGAGATTTTATTCCAAGCCACTGTCATTCCTGGTCAAATCTACACTGTGGTTTTTTTAGCCTTACAGAATCCAGAATAACAGAGTTGGGAGGGACTCAGAGGTCTTCTAGCCCAACCCCCTGCTCAAGCAGGAGCCCCTATGCTGTTTCAGACAAATGACTGTGCAGTCTCTTTTGGAAGACCACAACTGCTGGAGGGAAGCCATTCCACTGATCGATTGCTCTCACTGTCAGGAAATTTCTCTCTAATTCTAGTTTGGATCTCTCTCTCTCTCTGTCCAAATGCACCCTTCTCCAGTAAATGGGAGGGGTGGAGGTGGAGAGGATTTGCCCTGCTGCTGAGGGTACTTTGCTTGATCAAGAGCCCCTGGGGTCAGAGAGCATCCCTTCTGCTAAGGCAATCCGCCTCAGATTTAGGGAAGGAGAGCAGTTGCAGGTAATTTTGGCTCGGCTTTGCCCAGCCCTTCTGGCCTAAAGCCCCTCTCGCCGAAGGAGTTTGCAAGATTGTCTGCCCTCAAACAGGTGCAGGTGCCCAGCAGTGGTCAATGTGGCTCTCCTCTTTTCTCTTTAAGTTGTATGGATTTCAGGCAAATGAGCTAGTGCCTGCACAAGGGGGTTCCCGGAGATTCAGTGGAAAAAGATGTATTTCTCAAAAGATAAGCCTCAGATGTGGCTGCAGCAGGGAGGATGTTGTTAACCAAGGCAAATTTAGAGCAGTGTTTTTTTACACTTGCAAACTTTAAGATGGGTGAATTCTGAGAGCTGAAGTCTGCACACCTTATGCAACAGGCATCCAACTTGAAGATTTGTGGGCTTCGATTCCCAGAATTCCCCAGACAGCATAACTGGGAGTTGAAGTCCACAAGTCTTCAAGTTTCCAAGGCTGGACACCCCAATCTTGAAGCATGCTGGCTGAGGAATTCTGGGAGTTGAAAACAACCCATCTTCAAGTCATCAAGTTTGAAAACACTGATTTAGAAGAAAGGAAGACAGCGTTTCTAAAACCTGGGATGAAATCCAGGGAACAAAGGAATAACACAATTGGAAGGGACCTTGGAGGTCTTCTAGTCCAGCCCCCTGCCCAAGTAGGAGACCTTATAACGTTCTGAACAAATGGCTGTCCAATCTCGTCTGGAAAACCTTCAGGGATAAAGCACCCACCATTTCTGGAGAAAAACCATTCCACTGGTTATTTCTCCTCACTGTCAGGAAATTTCTCCTTAGTTCTAGGTTGCTTCTCTCCCTGATTAGTTTCTACCCGTTGCTTCTCGTCCGGCCTTCAGGCACTTTGGAGAATAGCTTGACCCCCCTTCTTCTTTGGGGCAGCCCCTCAAATATTGGAAGACTCCTGTCATGTCACCCCCTAGCCCTTCTTTTCTCTAGACACATCCAACTCCTACAACCATTTATCATGTGTTTTAATAATTATTATTCATTGGTTTTGCAAATAAATGTTTCTGCTTAAAGAACGAAAAGTGAATTCTCACCTCTTCCTCTTTTTCGTCTGTACATTAAGAAGAGGACCAGCAAGATCACAAGAACAATCAAAAGCGGGACGATATATTTAGCATAAAAAGATGCCGAGAGGTATTTGCTGGGGATAGATGGATCTATAGGAACCCAAAATAAAAGCAAAGTCAATTAGATCCTTCCCCGAACCCTATTTTTTTCTAGCAAAATTGCAGAGTGATTTAAGCATTTTTATGATTTATAGCAAGTCTCCCCAAAAATGACCCACCAGACTGGTAACCCCAACCCAAATGATGGGCACCAGGTTGGGGAAGGTTGGGGTACGGATTTAACTCTCATCAACCCCGATCAGTACACCCAATGGGGGGGAGCTGCCAGCCCAAAATACATAACTCTGGTATTATGGTGTATTTAATCATAGAATAATGGATTGGAACGGTCTCGGTAGATCATCTAGTGTAGCCCAGGGACTCACTCCTACAGTAGGCAAGGATGCTCTTGAGATTCATCTCTGGTGACCATGCGCAACACGCTGGCAATTGTCTTCAACTTCCTGAGAGTACAAAAGCCATCATCAGCCAGAGGAACAGGCTGCCACTGGGAGTGGTGAGGTTTTTCAACATAGGCTGGATGGTCGTTGGTCACAAAATCCTTGTCAGTCCTGCACTGGAGAGGAGTTGGATTGACAGAGGAGAATATTTGTAGCTCAGGGATGAAATAAGGGGTCCTTGGTGCTCTCTGAGCTTGGTTGTTTTCTCGCAGACGTTTCATTACCCAAACTAGGTAACATCATCAGTGCATGGTGGCTTCTAAATTCCCTCCAATTCCATGATAAGATTGACAAGAAGTTGCGCCATCAACATTAGCCCAAACTCTGCGTCTGGAAATTGAAGAGCCTGCTCTTCTTAACTGTAGCATTAACCTTTGTTAAATATTCCGTGTTATCTACCAGTTAGACTCAAATTCAAACTCTGGACATTCCGCTCTGCTACCTGAGGTTATACATTTTCCTGGGTGAGTCATACCCAATGAATTTTCTTCCTGTGCTCTCCTGCGCCAGGGCCCCCCAGGACTGCAAACACCTTTTGCCACCCTCTGGTTAGACAAGGAAGATGGCTGTGCCTTAAAGGCCACCCTGGATGCCTGCCAGGTGCTCCGTGTCTCCCGCTTTTGTTACAAACACGATTTTAATTAAAGAGAAATAGAAACAGAGAAAAAACTGTAGATCCCTTGGTGCTCTCTGAGCTTGGTTGTTTTCTTGCAGCCATTTCATTACTAAACTAGGTAACATCATCGGTGTTGGTGAGTGTGGGGTTTTCTCCCTATTTATATATAGTATTTTGCTCTGCCAGTAGTGGGGTGTGGTTTTCTCCTTGGTAGTTCCTTAATTAGGTTATTGTTTTTCTGTTTGATTGTTTGTCTGGTGTTAATCCCTGCTTACCTGGGTGTTGGTTACTGGAAAGGATATGTTCTGATCTTTATGGTTCCTTCTTAGTTTTATTAATTGTCTTTTTGCAACGGCATGTAAATGTAGTTTATCCCTATGGGTCTGTTGATGACTGATTTGTCAGAGGCTAGACTTCTAGGAATCCCTTATTTTTTGGTTTAAGATAATTTCCCAGTTGAAATTATGGTTGAGATTCTTCATCTGTTGTGAGATTAAAGAGTTTTCATTGTGTCTTTTGGCTGCTAATAAGCATTCATAGATGTGCTCTGCTAGTCTTCCATCTGTTTGTCCTACATAGTGGCTGTTACAGTCCTTTCACTGTAGACTGTGGATGATTTTGCTTTTATTGCTTGGGCTGTTGGGTGTTTTGGTTTACTTAAGGTGCTGTGGAGGGCTTTAGTTGGTTTCTGTTGGCAGTTTTATCTGCAGAGTTCTTTGAAGACGAACAAGGATGAATAAGGATGATCTAGGAGCGTCATTTTGGGTACTGAGATCAGCGATATATAAATGTAATAAATAAATATTTATAAATATCATAACTATAATCATAACTATAAATATAATTTATAAATATCATAAATCTCCATCTTCTTCTAAATGGATTTTTTGACTGGCACAGCTACTGCAGCAGCCATGTTGTGTGTGTGCCAGCCTTTGTCTTCACAACTTCAAATGTACCCACTGGACGACCCCCAAACGTTGCTGTACCCCTGGGTGAAGCCCTCTGGTGCTGTCAGAATCCAATTATATTTCATCTCTAGTTATCAATTATAAAAAAACCCATTTCTGCCTTCTAGGGATTCTGCCATACAATGAAGGGAAGGGGGTGAACAAAGGGGCTTTATGGCTCTCACTTCCTTCAGTACACTTCAAAGGGACTGGATATGTGTATTGCCAAAAGAGCTAACCATAACAATGGGGCTATTACCTTTCATGTAGTTCTCTCTGAAGTCTCCATCCAGTCGGCAGTAAGGAAAAGGGGGTGGGAGCGTAATGCCTGAGACTGTCGCTGGAAGAATGGGGTGATTGGGTGGGGCTACTGGGGAACCCCTTAAAACCTTGAATGGGAGAACTTGGACTCCAAGTCCTGTCTAGAACGCCTGCAACCATTTTCTCTTAATAAAGGATGCCTGTTGGAAGAATTATTCCAAGAGTTCTGTCTTCTTAAGATGCAAAGTGGGGTGGGTCCTTACAGGTGCATTAACATCACCCGCTTTTGTAGCAGAATCTGCACTCACCCTGGCAATGCTCCTTCAGCGAAATCACACTGGAACTTTCACCCGCCTGGTTGCGAACAGTGCAGATATAGTCTGGGATGCCCTGCTGAGGCTTCTGGGAGATCTGCAATGTCTGCGCCGTGGAGAGAACCTCGCTGCCATTGACCTGGAGCCAGGTGAAATTCAGGTGGCCTGCTTCTTCTTCTGGCCCAGCACAGCTCAGGAGGACCTGGCAGGTCCCGTTCTGGGCCTGGACGATGATGGTGGGGGCCGCCAGCCTCCCTGAAGGAGCCAGGAAGGGGGAGAATCAGTGGGTGCAAGTCGCTGTGATGTGGGGACAACGTTTGGGGGAGAAAGGAGGCCTCCATTTTAAAACTATAAACTTTTCTTTGAAAATATTTCCAAAATCAATAAATTCTAATACATCTTCTTTTTTTTTTACTTCCTTTCGACATTCGGCATCTGGATTTTGTGCTTCTGATGGAAAATAATGAAACTTTGATTTTGACTTGGCTGATTAGATAAGCTTATTGTTATAGAAATGGTTCTCAACTTGCTACAGTTCATTTAGTGACCATTTGAAGTTACAACGCCACTGAAAAAAGTGACTTATGACCGTTTTTCACACTTAGGACCCCTGCGGCATTCCCCCCATGGTCACGTGATCAAAATCCGGATGCTTGGCCACTGGTTCGTATTTATGAGGTCGCAGCGTCCCGGGGCCACGTGATCCCCTTCTGCGACCTTCTGACAGCAAAGTCAGTGGGGAAGCCGGATTCATATAACAACTGTGTTACTGCCCTAACCGTGATTCATTTAAAAACTGTGGCAAGAAAGGTCATAAAATGGGGCAAAACTCGCTTAGCAACAGTCTCGCTTAGCAACAGAAGCTTTGAGCTGAATTATGGTTGTAAGTTGAGGACCACCTCTATTATTGCATAAAAGGGACAAGTTGGGGTGGAAATGTTATCATCTTCGGTTGTGCTAAAAGGAGTCGGAAGTCAATGCCTTTTTTTTTTCTTTTTCCCCTTCTACCCCGCACTTTCTCCTCTTCCCTTTCCCCTCCCCTAGATTCCAGTTATTTTCATTTTCTTTGTATTTTATATTCTGATAAACTAATAAAATTTCAATCATGGAGCCCGGGGTTGGACTAGAAGACCTCCAAGGTCCCTTCCAACTCTTGTTATTCTTTGGTTATAGCTGTGCAACCTCAGGGAAACCGGATGGCAGCCTTGAAGAGGGCAAGGCGCTGGGATTTGTATTCCCTCCCCCCTCCTTTGGAAACTTACTGGCTTTGTAGTCAGGGCTGCTTTGCCCAGTCAGGAGAGGGCCGGTTGTGCTGACCACCCAGGCTGATCTCCAAGGGGCGCTTGTCTCATTCTCTGGCATCATCTTGTTGCTTCTGCTGAGCCCGTCTCGAAATTCTTGCTGAGACCCCTTGGAGTCTTTGGAGTCATGATCCACCCCTTGGAGGGCTGGAAAAAAAAATGACATTGCAAGGTATCACTGCAAGGTCTTCAGCAAATAGAACATCTCCCCTATACTTTAAATAAGTCTATTTTCAATCTTTTTTTCAGAGGTCTTGGTGGTGTTCCAAGGCTGTAAATGTGATCCTGCTGAAATTGTACACATTCAGATGAACCAGGCTGCTAAAACAGGCTGCTATTTAGCCAACATCTGATAAATCAGTCAGAACTGAATGTGCAGCCAACCCTGGCTGATAAACCATGTCATCTGTTCCTAACCAGGATCTGCTACATGCCCCGAATGTTGCATGCTTTCAACAGATGCTGCTCCATCCTCCATCTCAAGGTAGGGTATTTTTCTCCCAAGTACCACAATTAATAATAAAACAGAATACTGAATTAAATTAAATTAAAAATTAAATTAAATTAAATTAAATTAAATTATTAGGGAGACGACCTTGCAGGTGCGAGGCAAAATACCCATAAAAATACTGATGCCCCCAATCCTGTTTATCTCCAGGAGGGACCCTTCCTCTGCAACCAGACCTTGCCGAGGACAGGGAATGGAGGTGCTGGGCATCTCCGAACTGATGCTGCAATTCCCACACCCTGTGGGAATGTGACACACAAACAGGGCCACTTCAGGGTTGTGAAAAAATGCCACCCTACCATTCTGAAGAGGATAGGGCCTGTGTAGTTTGAATGCGTGGCTTTTGGAACTCAGAATGCAGCCTCCGATTATTACAGGTTATTACAGATAGACCTCGATTTACGACTATGATTGAGCCTGGAATTATAGTCATAAATCATGCCAGTTGTTAACAGTCACCACTTGACTGCATCAGATTTTACAACCTTTTTTGCGGTCGTTAAGCAGATGCCCTAGCCATTAAGTGGATCATTTTAGCCAATGAGTGTTTTTTTGTTGGAAATCAGAAGTAAATACTAGTTGCCAGCGGGAAACCCCCCCCCATCATAAATGGGCCATGCTGTGTTCAGACAACTCATTAATCTCAGTTAACAAACTGACCCATTTTCTGAGCTTTCAATCCTTTGAACCATAATCTAAGTAAACAGGATTTGCACACCTGGCTTGACTCCCCCCAAAAGGGCAGAAACCACCTTTCATTTTAACCAAACTTAGCATGTGATGGAAATGAAGCTGCTGGCTCTTTAACACAAAGGAAGCCTGTTGTATGCATTCAACTCTTAAATTTCTTTCTCTGCTTTTCTCGTTTTTAAGCTCTTTTGTGAGCTGATTCAAACAGGGAAATTTGGGGGGAACGAACGAAAGAGTGGGCGTGGTTAGTTCAGTTTTTAATTCTCTCTGTTTCAAACTGCTCACAAGAACTTCTTCAGACACCCTTAAAAAGCGTGGCTTGCTCCACCTATGAAGCTCAACTTCATTTTTGGAAAATGGCTCATCGTCCTGTCACAATCTGTGCTTTCCCAGGGTTTTTCTTTTGGTTTTGCGTCTGCAGCTGTGGGCTGGGGACAGGAATCCCCCGTCCCCCCCAGGCCCCTTTCTGTCTCAGGGTTCCTCCTGGCCAGAGGAAGTGAAGCCGAGAAGAGTCCCAACTCTCCTGCTGCCGACCTCGCCCAACGTGTTTGTCCTGTTCCTTCCTCTGCCGAAACGTGGCTCTTCCCTACCCCAAAATCTTCCTGACTCGAGAACTCACCTGCGAGAGGAAAGAAGGCCATGATCCAAAGCTGCCACATGCTTTCTCTGGTTTTTTTTTCGTGACCAGTGGCTCAGGTGGGACAGAAGGAACCAAGAGAGTTCCTCTTTCAGGGTGGCTTTGCTTCCTCTTCGCAGGAGGAAGTCGAGAAGATCTGAAGAAATCTCAGGATGATTAAGACGAAGTTGTACGTGCCTCTTCTTGCTCTTTTCTGTTTAAGAGTCGGCTCAGGCGCCTGGCCACGTCCAGGCTGAGCTTCCATCGCTGAACCTGGGAACTCCTCCTTGGACTGTCCTGAGCGCCTCCTCAGCCCACCCGACTGGTCCTCTTTCCAAGGAGGCCACTCAGGTTCTCCCCATCCTCTAAACCAGGGGTCTCCAACCTTGGACTTCAACTCCCAGAATTCCTCAGCCAGCCATGCTGAGTTGAAGTTGAATTCTGGGTATTGAAGTCCACAAGTCATAAAGTTGTCAAGGTTGGAGACCCCTGTTCTAAACCACCTCATGTTTTCTGCTGAAAATCCCTCCCCTGCTGTCAGCTGCTTTGTGGAGAAGAACATGGAGGTCCAAAGTCCACAACGTGGGACCCCTCACCTCCTCCTCCTCCTCCTCCCCCTGCAGCCTGCTGCCCTCAGGGGAAGGAGGAACATGAGAGAGGAAAGGGAACACACATGCAAATACAGAGGAAGGGAAAGCTGTGCAGATAGGTGAGTGGCTTTCTATCTTTGGATGGAGGCAGCTGGATAACAAGAGAAGCTGATCCACTTGGTAAAGCCTGTCAGACACCCAGCTCACATTCCCCCCCCCCCCCGGCCGGCCACAAACAGCAGATTTGGGCACCAAGAGCCAAAAACTGACTCCCTGCAACTCAGGGGATGGTTTTGGAACAGGTTTTCGCAAACTCAGCAAATTTTAAATGGGTGGACTTCAATTCCCAGAATTCCCCAGCCAGTATGCTTAACCCTAACCCAGTGGTGGGATTCAGCCAGTTTGCACCACTTTGGCAGAACTGGTAGCTACTTTTTTGTTGCCTAAGCCCAGAATGGACTTCCAGAAGCGGCATCCACACAGAGAACCAGTTGTTCACATATTTGAATGCCACCACTGCCCTAACCCCAACTAACAGAGCTGGAAGGGACCTTGGAGGTCTTCTAGTCCAGCCCCCCCCCACTCAAGCAGGAGAACCTACAGTATACCATTTCAGATAAGCGACTGTCTAGTCTCTTCTTAAAAACCTCCTGTTAGGAAGTTTCTCCTTAATTTTAGATTGCTTCTCTCTTTGGTCAGTTTCCAACCATTGTTTCTTGTCTTTTCTTCGGTGATGCTTTGGTGAATAACGTGACCCCCCCTTCTTTGTGACAGCCCTTCAAATATTGGAAGGCTGCTATGTCTCCCCTATTTCTTCTTTTCTTTAGACTAGCCAAACCCAAATCCAGCAGCCGTTCTTCATATGTTTTGGTCTCCAGGCCTTTGATCATCTTAGTTGATCTTCTCTGAACTCTCAACATCTTTTTTGTGATATGGTGACCAAAATTGGTTGCAGTATTCCAGGTGTGGTCTTACTAAGGTTTTATAAAGCGGTACTATACTTCACGTGATCTTGATTCTATGCCTCTGTTTATGCAACCCCGGATTGTATTAGCTTTTTTGGCTGCTGCTGCACACTGCTGGCTCATGGTCAAGTGATCGTCCACTAGGACTCCAAGGTCCCTCTCACAATTACTGTTTTTGAGCCAGGTCTCACGTAATCCGTACTTATATCTTTGATTTTTCCTGCCTAAATGAAAAACTTTGCTTTTCTCCACATTAAAACTCATTTTGTCGGATAGGTCCCATTGTTCCAGTTTGTCAAGATCTTTTTGAATCCTGACCTTGTCTTCTGGGGTGTTGGCTGTTCCTGCCAGTTTAGTGTCAAATCTGCAAATTTGATGAGTTCCCCTTCTATTCCCTCATCTAAGTCATTGATGAAGATATTGAAGAGTACTCGGCCTAAGACGGAGCCTTGTGGTACCCCACTGCTTACTTCTCTCCATGTGGATGTAGTGCCATTGAGGACTACTCGTTGAGTACGGTTTGACAGCCAGCTACAGATCCATCTGGTGGTGATGTTGTCTATTCAACCTTTTTCTAGCTCTTCTCAATCCCACCACAATTCCATCCAATGCCCCATCCCACAGAACAAGCCAACCTCCCATCCAATCTATCTACCTAGCCCAGCCTACAACCCTCTTCCCCCAGCCTACAATCCTCTCCCCCCCATAGAATTGGGAGGGATTTTGGAGATTTTCTAGTCCAGCCCCCTGCCCAGAGCAGAGTGCAGACTATTCTGGACAAATGACTGTTCAATTGTTTATTGAACATTTCCTGGGATGGATCCACCCAAACTTCAGGGAATTCTGAACCTCCTAAAGTTGCTAAGGTTGACATACCCTATCCTAGAGGTAGGAGGACAGAAATCCCAAAAGATCTGAGATTTCTTAAGAAAAGATCAGAGGCTTTTATAGGGTTTCCTGAAGGGATTTAAACGGGATTTCTGGTGGACTACATTGGACAAAAAACAGTGTCTTGATGCTACATGAGCCAAAGGCCGAACATAGCAATTTCTCCTTAGTTCTGCTCTCCAAAGCATGACGTTTTCAGGCCAAGTGTTATTTTGGTCAACTGGTGGCCCATTTTTGTGTTCATGCAGGATCACAGGAGGATGGATGACCTCTTCAATCAACATTTCTCAATATTGGATGCTCCCATTTTCTTGTTTCTCAGAATATTGTGACTTGAGTTTTTTTCCAATTGTGCACATAGAATCATCTGGCTGGAAGAGACCTTGGAGGTCTTAATAATAATAATAATAATAATAATAATAATAATAATAATAATAATAATAATAATAATAATAATAATAGTAGTAGTAGTAAAGTTGGAAGGGACCTTGGAGGTCATCTAGTCCAACCCCCTGCTCAGGCAGGAAACCCTACACCATTTCAGACAAATGGCTGTCCAGTCTCTTCTTAAAAACTTCCAGTGTTGGAGCATTACTGCTTCTGGAGGCAAGCTGTTCCACTGATTAATTGTTCTCACTGTCAGGAAGTTTCTCCTTAGTTCTAGGTTGCTTCTCTCCTTGATTAGTTTCCACCCGTTGCTTCTTGTCCTGCCTTCAGGTGCCTTGGAAAGTAGCTTAATTCCCTCTTCTTTATGGCAGCCCCTGAGATATTGGAATACTGCTATCATGTCCCCCCTTGTCCTTCTCTTCGTTAAACTAGACATACCCAATTCTCGCAACCGTTCCTTATATGTTTTAGCCTCCAGTCCCCGAATCATCTTTTTGTTGGGCTCTTCTCCGGTACTCTTTCTAGAGTCTCAACATCTTTTTTACTCGTGGTGACAAAATGGATGCAGTCTTCCACGGTGGCCTTACCAAGGCATTGAAGAGTGCGTTAATACTTCGCGTGATCTTGATTCTATCCCTCTGTTAATGCAGCCTAGTACTGTGTTGGCCTTTTGGGCAGCTGCACGCACATGACTGCTCCTATTTAAGTGATTGTCCTCTAGGACTCCGAGATCCCTCTCACAGTTGCTACTATTGAGCAAGGTACCCCCTATACTATACCTGCACATTTGGTTTTTCTTGCCTAAATGTAGAACCTGACTTTTTTCACCACTGAATTTCATTTTGTTAGATAGCGCCCAGTGTTCAAGTCTGTCCAGATCCTCCTGTATCCTAAGCCTGTCTTCTGGAGTGTTGGCTATTCCTGCCAGCTTGGTGTCATCTGCAAATTTGATGAGTTCCCCATCTATCCCCTCATCCAAGATGAAGATGTTGAAGAGCACTGGGCCCAGAACAGAGCCCTGGGGCACCACACTACACACTTCCCTCCATTATAGATGCAGTTTCCATTGAGGACCACTCGCCTGAGTTACGGCCGGTCAGCCAGCTAAGGATCCATATGGCTGGTGTTCTGTCTACCCACATTTTGTCTATCTTGTCAAGTAGTAGGTTTGTGAGCTACTTTATCAAATGCCTTACTGAAGTCCAAGTAAATTATGTCCACAGCATTCCGTGATCCAATAATTTTGTCACTTGGTCAAAGAATGCAATACGATTTGTATGCATGGATCTATTTTTGACAAACCATGTTGGCTTGAGTAATGACTTGTTTGCCTCTAGGTGTTCGTTGATTCGTGTTTGATTATCTTTTCCAGGATCTTCCAGGTATTGAGGTCAGGCTGATAGGTCTGTAATGTCCTGGGTCCATTTTTTTTCCTTTTTTGAAGATGGGAACTACATCAGCTCTTTTCCAGTCCTCTGGTAGTTCCCCTGTGTTCCAGGATCTTTGAAAAATATAGTTCAGTGGTTCCGATATCACATCTGCCAGTTCCTTGAGAACTCTGGGGTGTAATCCATCTGGTCCTGGCGATTTGAACCCATCTAGGCTGGACAGGTGCTCCCTAACGATTTTCTTGCCTATCTTAACTTGTGTTTCTGTTTTGTTTTTTATGGCACTGTTTTTGATAGGTTGGTCTGTTTTTTCCCTTTGTGTAAAGACAGATGCAAAAAATGAGTTAAATAGTTCTGCTTTCTCCCTGTTGCTTGTCACCTTCTTGCCACTTCCACCCACTAATGGACCAATCATTTCCTTCACTTTTTTCGTGTTTTTTACATGTTGAAAGAAGCTTTTTTTGTTATTTTTGACTTTGGTCGCAAGCCTCAGTTCATTTTGAGCCTTGGCTTTCTTCACTTCATCTTTGCAGGCTCGGGCTATTTGCTGATATTCTGACTTAGTTATGTTCCCCTCTTTCCACTTTCTGTACTTGTCCTTTTTATCTTTCAATTTGTCATAGAGTTCTTTATGCAGCCATGCTGGTTTCTTTTGAGAGCTGTTATTTTTCCTCTTTGTTGGTATTGTGCTAGACTGTGCTTTTATTATCTCATTTTTCAAAATTTCCCAAGCTTCTTGAGTTGTTTTCCCCTTGAGGATTCTCATCCATGGAATCCTTCCCAAGCCTCTCTAAGTTTATTGAAATTAGCTCTCTTGAAGTCCAAGACTCTAGTTTGACTGTGTTCTATTGGTTGTGCTTCTATAATGTTGAATTCTAATATTGCATGATCACTTCTCCCAGGGTTCCTATGGCTTCAACACCGTCTATCATTTCATCTCTGTTAGTGAGAATTAAATCCAAAATGGCTAATCCCCTAGTTCCCTTCTCTACTTTTTGGGAGACAAAGTTGTCTGCTAGGTTTGCCAGGAACCTGTTTGATCTTCCACTTGGTGCGGAGTTTGTCTCCCAGTTGATGTCAGGGTAGTTAAAGTCCCCCATTACTATTGTGATGTGCTTCCTACATACCTTAGTTAGCTGAATAGCAAAAAGTTCAT